TATATATATATATATAATGATGTAACATTTTGATTAAGTTGATGAGATGATGTGATTGTTTTTTATTAGTGTGACATTAATTATGTGCTAACTTGGCATTTATCACGTTGGCATAATATTGATTGGACTAACAGTTTATGCTAACATGTTACTTGCTAACGTGGCTATCAATGGACAAAATCTCCACCTCACATGTCAGTAAATGCCACATCAGCATTTTTTTGCAATGTCAATATAAAATATTATCAGCCCAATCAATGTGAAATATTTTAAAAACAATGAAACCAGTTTACATTGTTATTGATACATATGATTCATGAAATCTTTCACTATATAAATTTGAGTTTGAATTAAAATTTTATCTAATTATTGTTAATTTGAAATTTTAAGAATACTTCATATACACTAATTCAGAAAATTCAGTAGTCGATATTTTACAGCATGGGACCATAAAAGAATACAATAACTGACCTTTAATACACCATTTGCAGTAATTAATAAAGTTTAAGTCGATTTCTGAAGAATTCATGTTTGTAAATATTAAGAGAGGCTTTCAAAGCTGAGCATCTATAAATATATTGTTGTTTTCGTTTTCATTTTTGTTAATCAATATGCCATCTGTCTGCTGCAATTGCCTGCTACTATGGTGACAAAAAACATAAGACTAATATAATGGATACCATTAGTCATCAGCTATGACTGTTTAACATCTTAATTAAGCAACCTCGGACTCAAAAAATTGAAACGATTAATCTAAATAGAAAGGAAGTTGACAGATTGATGATTTGCAGCTACCTATACTCTTCAAGCATAAGATATAGAACATTTTAAATAATTAATTAATAATTGATGATGTCTAATAGTCGTTTAAGGTTGTTTAAAATGCCAATTAAGAATTAACTCTATTGATCTTAAATTGTTTTTCTTCGATTATACTATTAAGTCGGTCCAATTCAGTTGGCAATCACAAGTTGTCAAGGGTATCAACAAATTCCTTGGGCTGTCACTTTCAAGTCAATGACATTTAGTTCTGACAGAAAAATCCAGTGAGCCAATCGCGTAAAAATACAAATGGCGCTGCCAATTTAGACAATTCTTACATCCCCATGTTCTTTTCGCGTCACTGCCATTTGCTTCATCTAATCCACATATTTTGATCATTTTATCATTATCCTTATATTGGAGTCATAAAAAAAAAAAATACAAATAATGGTTTCTCTTACTCGTAAATATTATGTGATCTTATGTAAATATAATTTAACTGAAAAGAAAACGAAAGAAAATGTAGGATAGTCATGCAAATTCTGAATTTTAGATTTTTTCTGATTGGTGGATAGTTTGTTTTTCTCCGATTTTCTTTATTTAGTTTCAGGTTTTAAATAAGATTGCCTATAACTTGAGGACTCTAACCAGCATTCCCAAAAATCACAGGCAAAAGTAGCACATGTACTATTGTACAACATATAATAACAAGATCACCTCAGTATGAAGGGTGATTACAATTACAATATTAAATCAATTTTTTCTTTTTTTATAAATAAAAAAGAGAGATTCGAATTTTATTCTTTAAGAAGGAAATCATGCATAACCAATAAACCAAACCTTAAGGTGCAATAGTTAGTTAACATGAACTAATTTAAATCTAGTTGCCTTTGTTGGTAAGATATTTTTTTCTCCGCTGAGTTCAATCTTAATAAGATTAAAAAAACCAAGTTCAAAGGCTTCTTTTGCCTAATATTCATTGTTTTCTCACTTCGGCTAACAGGAGGACACACCATAGGTTCCACGGCTTGTCAATTTTTCAGTTCCAGACTATAAAACTTCACGGGAAATGGTCCTGACCCATCAATCGACCCATCATTTGTCCCTCAACCGCAAGCACTCTGCCCCCAAAACGGTGATGGCACTAGCCATGCTGATCTTGACACTGGAAGCGCGACCAAGTTTGATACATCTTTCTTAACAAATTTGAGGAATGGCAGAGGAGTACTCTTGTCTGATCCAAGATTGTGGACTCATCCTTCAACAGGAGTCTTTGTCCAAAACGTTTTTTGGGTGGGAAGGGCTACAAAGCACTAAATTTTAACGAGGAATTTGTGAGGTCAATGGTAAAGATGAGTAACATTGGCGTGAAGACAGGCACTGATGGTGAAATCCGCAAAGTTTGTTATGCTATAATTTGATTAATTTGATTTTTGTAATTTCCTAATAATATACAGCTTAATTTATAATTCCCTTTTCTTTCTTAGTTTAATTTTAGGTATATCATACATGATATAGTAATAAGAAAGGTTAAGGTATCAAATAGGATATAATACTGTTCTCCATATAGTAATTCCATCATTTCTAGAATCAAGAATCAAGATGCCATTTAATTCTTAGTTAATCAGTATAATTAAATGTTAATCTCTGTCATATCAAACATGTACATGTAAAAACATGTCTTGATATTTAATAAATTAAACAAAAAACGTTGGTTAATAAGATATTATTGTCAGGGGTGGCTCAATAAGCTTAAAGGTCTAAAACTAAATATTCAAATGAGCTTTTTTTTAATTGAAATTAAGAAAATGAGGTGTTTTTTTTTTTATTGAAGTTAAGGAAGAAAGAATAAAGTAGAAAAGGAAATTTATAAGTAGATATTATAAATTAAAAAAGTAGTTTTATATATAGAAAAAAGAATAGTCATTGGAGACCATTAAATACATCTTATGATTAGTTGATTGTAAATAGGAGAAATAGTTGAGAATTAATAGCATTGTGGGAATTGAATGATAAAAAATTGAGATTTATTAGGCATATAATTAGAGAAGTGAAAGAATATGTTATTTTATTAATTATTTTTACTTTTACATATTTTTAATTAAAAATGAGATAAATAGTAGAGAATCAATAAGATGTAGAAAAGAGAGAAAATAAATATTTATTAGGTATGAAAAGATAGATAAATATTTTATTAATTATCTTAAATTTTGTATATTTTTAACATAATTAATTAGATTATTTATTATAAAATTATGAAATCTATGAAAATTTGAGACCTAAAGTCCTTGCTTTAGTGGCTTTACCTAAAGTCGACCTTGATTATTGCCAGATAATGAGTCTACCTAAAGTCGGCCTTGAATATTGCCCAAAAAATGTGAGAAGTTTACCTTCACATCAATCGATTTCTATTGTTTTCTAATTTAGACTCAAGAAAGTAAGTGACACCCTACTTACTTTTTCACAATTTGCATGCTGGAAAATTTTAGACAAAAAAATACCTAAATTTGAAAATCATGGTTTTTTTTAAAATTTTTTTGACAAGTTGATCTAATTTAATCTAATGACCGTTTTGGAGTCAATGATCAATTGGCATTTGATCGTTCGCGGCCGTACAAGATGAAAAATTATTACTGCTGAAACCTAAATGTTTTTTTACTAAGAATAAGAAAACCTTTGACAAAGACATTTTCTTCACTTGAAACCGCAAGCCATGCAAATTAACTTGATTGGTAAGTGTACATAAACGACAAAGATGATCACCATCTACGACCCTGCTGCAAATGAATCCAACTCATCGCCCAACAGGGCCTGGTTCTTTTCAGCCGGCATTCTTTACTAATTTCACAATT